TAGTCAATGCACTTATTTGATCATTACATGAAGTACGAGTTTTCGAAAACCACATTATACCCCATAAATATATCTGGTTATTATATGTAAATTAGAAATTATAATAATTCTAAAATAAAATAGTTGTGCTCAAAAAATGAGTGCCCTTATAATGAGAGGAGGCAAATATGATTAGTAAATTGCTCTTCCACAAAAGAAACTAGCACTAAGTCATTTACTGAAAGATAATTATTCTAGTGCTGTTTTTTGTGTTTCTGCTCTTTTTCCTTTTGTTCAAAAAAGTCACCCACCTATTGTCTGTTAAACGTTATTCCACTGGAGTTGAATGGATGACTTGGGAGTTAGAATTTCAGAATTTCAGGCAAAAGCAGATCACTCATTTAGCAAATCTATCAAACAAAATTCTCTTTGAGTTCTCAATTTAGATGGAGTTGTTTTATTTGTTAAATTCAAAAGATAAATATTAAGTATTAAACATAAATGGTTTAATGAAAATACTAAATTGAGAGCCACACACGACACCCCCACACACTTTTTCAGCATGCTCCTTCCTTCATAATCATGATTTATCATTGCACGTCTCTAAAGTTTGCAAAGTTCTTAGGACCAGCAGTTAGCATAATGGCTATGCCACTGGACTCCCATGTAGTTGACTGCGGTTCGAATCCTGGACCCAGTAGCTTAAAACTCACGCCGGGTGCATGTGCGTGCGTGCCCAAGATCCTGAGAGGAGAATGGAGGAGAAGGGCCATTCCCCTCTGGGGGGTGATTTCTTGCTTTCTGTTTCTCTGTCTCTCTCTGTCTGTCTGGCAAGCTCATGAGCCCTATGGCAAAAATGTCACCAAGAAAAAAAATTTGAAAAGTTCTCATATTCTTGATAGTTTTTTGACTGGTGATTTGAGTATTATTTGAGTAAACTAAGTAAACTAAAGCTTGGAAAATTTAAGAGGCCATGCTCTAATTCAAATTTAAATCTATGACTAGAAGTCTGAAGTTCTCTTCATCATTTCAGTTTTTCCTTTAAGACAACACTTTTTTTTATTCATGTTTCAGAAAAATACCAATTTTTTTAAAGACTGTAAATCATTAATTTGTGGCCAGACCTTGATTATAGTCGACTCCAAAAGAAAATATTCATTCATATAATCAGAATGTTAATAAAAGCAGTAGCAAGCCTAGGGTTTAACATCAAAGTGACCACCTGTCTAAATGAACCTCGAAAATTTAGTGTAGGAGAACACATATTCAATAAAAACGTCACCTATTTTTTTTAAGGTCATTTTCAACATTTCCACTTTTGCTAGCATCTGTAACAACAAATCCTCCTGATAAAATGTACTGATACTCCTCAAAATCAAGTTAAATAATTTAGTTAATAAGTAGGCCATTAGTATATCCTGGTTGAGTACAATATACACTGAAGCGAGCAAGGCAATGTTGTGTAGTAAACATCAGCTTCATAAAGTCCCTAAAACACTTAATTAATGAATACCAAACATGGATAAAACCAATTTGCCCTGATTTACAGACTCCCTTCATCTGGAAACAGCTGCTTAATGTTCTTCTTAAAAACACAGCTTGCTTCTTTCAGTATTAACAAGCTATTATTGTGAGTTATGTCTTTCTTTCAGTATATAAATTCACTTACAGAGAATGCAGAGAAGTTTATAAAATGCAAGCCTAATGTTGTTTTAACACATGCTGCAAGGGGTTTTTTTGAACATTGACAGCTTTGATGAAAGGCATCTTTCTTTGGCTCTCATAAATTTAACTTTTTGCTTCTTAGTTTCCTTGTTTCATAACATGAGAAACAACTGCTTTTCAAAAAATATTGTCAGTTTTTACAAACTTGACTATTAGCATGGATGAGGACTCAAATGTCATGTGCTTCCACATACCTGCGTACACTCCTTCTTGATAAAAACCTCATACTACTGTAGCACTAATATAAAATGTTTATTATGCATTAAAAAGCTGTCAGGGGGCCAGAAGGTGGTGTGATGTTTAAGGTGTTAGACTCCCACATAGCCAACCACAGTTCAAATCCCAGACTGGGTGTCTCGCTTTTTCATATTTCCTTTCTCTTTTTCTATGGTCAAATTAAAAAATAAATAATAATAACTAATAAACCAAAGTAAAGACATAAATAAACCTTAAAAAAAAAACCTGTTGAGTGGGTAAGAGAATTCACACCTGTTGGTCAGTTGAAAAAGTTATGATAAGGAATGGTCCACTCTGCTGAAATTGCATGGAGAAATCCCAAGTTCAGATCCTAAGGTCTCTCCATACACATGCATGTAGTTATGACCATGGCTAGTTGCGGCTAGAGGTGGATCAAGGTGTGAAGACCCTGCTGAGCATCCTGTTTCTCTTTCTCTCTTGACCTCTCTTTCTCTGTATCTCTCTCTCGTGAAAGAAAGAAATAAACTTAAGGGAAAAAATCTGTGCTTATTGAAACTCATCTATGAAACTTAAATTAATAAGATATAGAAACATAGACACATTAATGTTCACTAATTTCAGGGAGTTTTTAAACTTGAATAGTCTAAATGTAGAAAAATGTTCCTTTGTTTTACTGTATTTTGTTTGCATTTCTAACTTTTATAAAACAATATTTTAAGTTAATATCCATTGATTTGCTGATTTCATTTAAAATAAATAAAATTATACAGACAATTTAGGAGAAAATGTTAGGTAATTCATGAAAAGGTATCTTTTGTTTATAACAGGCTGAACATTAGATACATTTTTTAAAAGCTGAAATGCATGGCTATTTTATCATCGCCTTCTTTATTTCTTCTCTTCCACAACCTTTCTGCAATAAGATAATTCTATTTCTTTTTAATTGATATTTACACCTCCTTTGACAATGAAATATGTCAAGTTTAGGGCTTCTTAGAATGTAACTATTAAACTATTATGTGGGATACTAATTGGAGAAACTGTTTTGATAATTTATGTTTAAATCAAGCATTCCTAGAAACATGATGAGGCATTAAAATTCTGATATTAATAAAATAAAAACCTAAATGTTCCAAGAAAACCCCTGCAAACAACAACGGTAAAGCCTCAGTGAAGATTGTTTAACACATGTATGGAGAGAAAGCCATTTATAATTTTATTTTTAATTGATAGTTGTTATGAACAATTCCTATTTTGTGGTTATATATGCCATATGACTTTTGTTTCAAATTTCCATATTCATCCTTTGTCAATTTGCTAATACCTTTACTCATTCAGAAGATACATTTTTAGACTTCTTGCTAAGAGGTGCCAAACTCTGGGATAAAATGGACAATGGAGCCAGAGTCATTCGCTGCCCTCATGATTCATATAGTCCACGTGGAAGGTACCAGTTTTCTAATCACTTAAAACAATGATCAAGTGACACTCATTACCAAAATCATAATATTATTTAAGCTTTGAGGGGCCCGTGTGCTCGCCAGAGAGACAGAAAGAGAGAAATCTCCCACGGGGGGATGGCCACACCACAATCTGTTCCCCTTCATTCTTTTCCCAGATCTCGGGCACACATGCACACATACCTGGCGTAAGTTTGAAACCACCAGGTCCAGGACTCGAACTTCTATGCAATATGCTGGTCTCATTTTTAAGTTTTTTTTTTTCTTTTTTTTGGAGAGGTTTTTGCTATAGGGCGCATGTGCTCGCCAGACAGACAGAGAGAGACAGAAAGACAGAAAGGGAGAAATCACCCCCCCCAGGGGGGATGGTCACGTAATCCCTTCCCCTCTGTTCTTCTCTCGGGATCTTGGGCATGCACGCACACATGCCTGGCATGAGTTTAAGCCACCGGGTCCACGAACCACAGTCGACTACGTGGGCGTCCAGCGACATAGCCATTATGCTAACTGCTGGTCCCTCATTTTAAATTTTTTGTCTTGCATTTATATGTATTGATTTTCACTTTCATTGTGAGTGAACAAAAAAGTTTTTAAAGTTCTATTTAACATGGTTCTCTATATTCAAAATGTCAGATTGTTACTTAAAACAGCAAGATCCATAAAGAAATGAAGTTAAGAAACTTGTTAAATTGTGTTAAAAGTGAAATTATTGAAGGAGCCAGAAGTTGGTCAATTAATAGAAGTTTCTCCTTTTCTGTTTAGTAAGGGGCACAAACTTCTGTATTTAAAGCAAATGTTCTTGATACATAATCTTTCTCTCTCTGTGTCCTTTCCCCAGCCTCAAGAATCTTATACTTGCTGTCCCCACACTCCCCACACTTCTCCTGGGCAAATCCTACTCTTACAGATGAGAGCTCTGGCGATTTTTTTCTTTCTTTCTTTTTTTTTTCAGGGAAACGTGTTCCCTTCCCACTCAGTTAGCTTCCTCTCTGGTAGGCTTTCTTAGTTCTTGGTACATCTTGTTCAAAATATTTATTCATGCTTTTTGGTTATGACTGTAACTTGATGATTGTTTTGAGTGGTTAGATAACTAGTACCTCCCACCTGGACTTTATGCATCTCAAGGGCAGAGAATGACTCTGACTCCGTTGTTCATTTTATCCCAGAGTTTGGCACCTACTAGTAGGAACTCTAAAAAATACGTCTTGTGAGTGAGTAAAAGACAAGGAGTGTAAATGGGCAAGGGGTGAAAATGGAAATTGGCAACAAAAGACTTATGACATATATAACCACAAAATAGGAAAAGGATAAAGAAATGAAAAATAAAGCTAGAAAAATTGGCAGGTCAGGGCCTTAATGTTCATCCAAGAACCTGGATTAATTATGTAGGTATCTTAGATACTATACAGTATTTTAAACAGGGGAGAGTGTTGTTCCACTCTTCATTTTGTCAGTAATCTTAGGAGTGATGTGAACTTGGAAGAGGTAATGAGAAGCAACAAGATGAGTTACAAAGCTACGGCAGTGCTCAGGTGATAGTTATGAAGGCTGAAATGGGACGAGAGGAAAGAGAATAGATCCTTCGTGTTGTCTGGCATCTTCCCTTTAATTCCAAATGCCCTATGCTATGCTTTTCAGGTGGATCGCCAGCCCCAGTTTATTCAAGGCTACCGAGTGCTGTATCGTCAGACTTCAGGACTGCAGGCTACATCGTCATGGCAGAATCTAGATGCCAAAGTTCCCACTGAGCGAACTGCTGTCTTAGTTAATCTGAAAAAGGGGGTGACCTACGAAATTAAAGTCCGGCCATATTTTAATGAGTTCCAAGGAATGGACAGTGAATCTAAAACAGTTCGTACTACTGAAGAAGGTGAGTATTGAGATTTCTGATGTAAACCAACTTCACCATAATGAAACTACTTTTTGTTATAGTTGTAGAGTCTCATCTTCCTTAGAAGAGTAGAAACAGGACATCTAAAAGGGAATCCAGGAAGTGTAGCTTTCTCTGTCTCTCTCTCTCTCTCTCTCTCTCTCTCTCTGTGTGTGTGTGTGTGTGTGTGTGTGTGTGTGTGTGTGTGTGTGTTTCCAGAGACATCCTTAGAATCTGGAAAAATAATATTGAAATAATTTGAATTTTTCTTAAGTAACCATTTGTCCCAAATCTTACATTCTTTAGTTCATTTGAAATTAGTCACAATATATTTTATATTTTGATGTGGATTTAGCTCATTTGACTTTATTAAAAGGCAGGCTACTAAAAACTCATGTATGCAGGCTATTCATTTTGACTACTCATGTATATAGTCAAGTGTGAGTCTCTGTTGTCAGCCTCTTGTCCCCATGGGCACTGCCAGGCAGACCCATGATTTCTAATTTGCAAGGCCATTTTATGTTTGCAATAGTTTTCTTCTTAGTACTGTTCCCTCTTTCTTTTCCCATTTGAAACTTTTCTTACCCACAGATACTTAAGTCAATCTATGATAAACAGAGATTAAAATAGGTTTCAGTGGCTCTATTTATTAATGTCTCCTTGACCTAACTAGAGGCCCATAAGAAACAGTACCAACAGAGTTAAATAATAAAAAAAAAAGTCAGATTCCAAATAAAATAAATTCCTCCATAGCCTACTTTTGTACTAATGTTAAAAGCACAACTCCTGTAAAAAAGCCTTTTATCTAAACACATTTCACACAAAATTATGTAAGGGTAGCCTTCTAAAATGTATATAGGTTACACGTGCTAATATCTTGGTGTCCATGTTTGATTAAAGAGCTTTTTTAAGTGTATATTTCTTGTAACAAGCAACATAGCAAAATGTTACCTTCCCAGTGACTCAGTGTGTGGTACCTTGGCAAGGCTGGAAGTATTTATTTTTGAAAAGCATCATTAGTTTACTTTTAGGATATATAAAGGAAACAATTAATTACTAAGAAGTAATTGTACTATACTTATGCACCATTAAATTATACACTAAGTTGCAAATTGATAGTACTAATGAGTGGAGTGGGTAACTAATATAGAAGGCTACATTTGAAGCCTCCTTCCAAAAGTACTAATGAGTGGAGTGGGTAACTAATATAGCAGGCAACAGTTGAAGCCTCCTTCCAAAGACCAATTTCACTACAAGTTAGACTTTTCCCCTGGATTAGACATTTGTCACCATTCAGTATACATTCATCACAGATTTCTGTGGCCCTGTGAAGGCAACTAATGGAACTCAGCTGGGATATGTCTGGGAACGATGCGTGGTGATTTGGGTTCACATCTATAGAAAGAAGCTGAGCCCTGGAATAATTGACCTGTCAGGAAGCGGGCTCAGTGTTCTCGCCAGGCCAGCAGCAAGGCGAATGGGGAACCCACTTCAAAAGTGTTAATTTTCAATGCAGTCTACTTAATAACTACAAGGCTGCTGGACAGGTGGTTGGATTTATGTCCCCATGCTATATTTTTGAGCAATATTGTGTTAACGTGTGCTTCTGGGTGTCCTCTATCTCAATGCAAATATGGCCTTACCTCAGTAAAATAGATCTCAGCAAATTTACCAAACATGGCAAGCATTATTGGCAGGCTTTAAAATGCCTTTTAAAATATTTAGGATATTTTCAAGGTACTAAACCATGCAGAGCTATGAAAGCATTGATGATTTACATAAAAATAATTTTTTTACTCAAAAATATTCCTTTTTTTAAATGCAAAAGAGAATTTTACACAGTGTTCTGATTTTGCTTTTCCTGCATTTAGCTTAAACTTAGATGCACTGAGGTATGTTTTGCTTCAAAACTGTGTTTGTTGACTCTTGGGGTGCACTGACTGGGAGATAGTTAGATCTAGAGTCAGAAATTCCTTCTCACTCATCTTTTCTCAGTAGGGTTATAATTAGTTATAGGAGAAACGATAAATGAGGAGAATGATTGTAGGAAATCAAAATCTGTCTACTTCACATTTGACCCAACATGAACTGTTTTTATTTTCATCATCAGGTCCCTTACCCATTAATATAAGTTTTAAATCTTAAATTATGGGTTAATATATAATGACATTTATGTTTCCCAGTATTAAAAATTGTTTTTCTGTTGATAAAATTTATTGCTGTGCTTCTGTTGTTATTATTAAACATAAACTTTAAAAAAGAATACACCAAAAAAGGCTATAAGTAACGCTACTATTCAGAAACAATGTCTGATAAATTTTTAAAAATATATTTTTTCAATATTTGGGGAGAGAAGTATTGTTTTTTGTTGCATTTGTTTTATTTTTCCAGAAAGACAGCTATTGAGAGTCAAAAGCATCGAAGTTCTAGAATCAGACATACTCAGGTTCAAATTCTGACTTATGGTTTCATGTCAATAATTCCCTTACAGTGTCCTTCTGTTTTCTCATCTGTAACACCGTGATGAGCTGCTGTTTCTACTTCCTGAAGTTATTGTGAAAATGGACTTAGCATTTAGTTTCATGCTGGGCATGTAACAAATACTCATTAGAGTCTTAACTATTCAATTTATTTGTGAGTGTATACTACCACGGGTGTTGCATTTGCTTTAAATCTAGACATTGTATTTAAAGGGTATATTTTTTCAAAAAGCTATCGCTGTTGAATACTATATGCAGATTCAGAGCTACTGAAAACCACAGCCTCACACAGCTTGTCTTTACCTTCTGTCCTGTGAGCAGCATTAATGTGCACCAAGACTTACACTTCCTGTTTCTTCCAATTATGTCCTCTGCAGCCCCAAGTGCCCCTCCGCAGTCTGTCACTGTGCTGACGGTTGGAAGTCACAATAGCACAAGTATTAGTGTTTCCTGGGACCCGCCTCCTCCAGATCACCAGAATGGAATTATCCAGGAGTACAAGGTAGGGCCTAGGTGAAGAAGGAAGGCTCGCAGATACCGTTCCCAGAGGCGTCTGAGTGTCCCGTGAATGAGGCTCACCTCTAAGGTTCTCTTACTCAGTTGAAGTGTAAAGTGATCATTTATATCTTTTTGAGACAGATAATGAAACAAACCCAAGGGACTTAAAACCTAACATCAAGGTCACAGTTCACACAAACTCAGTTGGAGAATTAAACAGCACTGGAGTGGTTTTCTCTACAGTGTGATTGAAGAACCTCAACTGTTTAGAAAGATGGGGTATGGAGTGGGTCGTAAAATCTTCATCCTAGAAACTGCTTTTATCTTGTTATTAAAATTCTGTGTAACAGGCTTTAGGACAGTTATTTTTAGGTCTGTTTTCTTATTAAAAAAAAAAAAATTCTGCTCCCAGAGTTCAGAGATCTATGATAGGATGGGAAGGCATAAGAGGTGGGCAGTACCAACACCAACTCATTTGAAAAAAAATGGTAGCTAATGAAGCAACAAATTTTGAGACAAATGGCTTATAAACAACAGTTGACGTTCTCAGTTTTCAGTGGTGAATTTATTGCTGTTTAGAAACACCTATATCTACTCTTCTCATCACCACCATCTGAAGTTTAAGACAGAATAGGTCTAATTTCAACCTAAGATTCTGTTTCATTGTGCTGTGATTAGTCCACGTGTAATAGTAAAACCCTTACTGAACTTTATAAAATCTCAAAATAATGACTATTTCCTATTAACAAACATTTCGAGAGTTCTTAAAATAGCACAATAGACATATCTAGTATAATAGAGGAGATGACACTCCACCTCACCATAGATACTCAGCTTAAGCTGAGTAACATCACTCAAAACTTTGCAGGTCCAAGAAAAAATACTCAATTTTTAAATGAAATGTTACTGAAATTCACTTTACTGAAAGAAACCAATGGACTAATGACATAAGCATTAATTTAAAAGTTATTTCTATCACATGATGAATAAATATGTTTAAGAAATATAAGATCAAATACTATTACAATAGCATAATTATATAGATTCAAAGACCTTACACGAGTTAGGACATTGTATTAATTGTAAAGAATTAATTGTAATGATTATAAAGAATTATCCACTGTGAGGTGTGTGTTTATGTGTGTTGTAATGAGATTCAGGAATTGACTTTGTACTATCAGGATTAAAAATAGCCAACTTCTATTACTTAAATAGTCATATGTTTGTTTCTACTATGATGCTTTTTTTTCATAAAGTTCAAAATTTTGTATATAATGAATTTGCTCATTAGGGAACTATCATATTTTGGTAATAAAGTATATATTTAAGTGATGACTAAATATTCTTCCATTAGGAACACAGACATAATATGTAAATAAAAGAAATTCATAGGTTATAGGAATTATTTTGCTGAAAATTTCAGGAGCGTACCTTTTTCAGAAACAGATCAAATGGATTTCTTCAAGTGTGGACATGTAGATTGTGAAATATTATATAGCATGAATACAAATAGAGATACACAGTGGAACTATATTTATACTGCATTTTACAGTAACAGATTTCCATATCCCAGAAGAAAATATGCCCTTCAATTTGATTCTTACTTGGAGCTTTAAAAAGCCTAGCTATCCTGACATTAATGTCTAAAGACTTTACTGTACTTTGTTCTCATGCATGTGTATGTGTGTGTAGATATGTTTTGATCAATATCAGGATTTATTGCTGTCAATGTAAATATTGGATTTAATTCCATTTTGGTCAACACTTATAGCTTAGATCAATTAATCTTGTTAAATACTTCTGTTTAAGTTAATATTTCTTAAATGAAATATAAATTACTAAGCTATAAATCTATATACTTTAGATATTATAACTAATAATCACCATATTTTTGATAAATTATATGCATATAAATTTTGATAAACAGACTAAGAAGAAGGTATGTGTTTTGAGCCATACTGTATTGCTTTTTGCAACCTAAAACAATGTTGTGGAGATGTTTAACACATTAGTTTGCCTTCTAAATTCCTCACTAATGTCATTTCTGGTGCTGATAGTAAGGTGTAAGTGAACATGGCATATTTTTAGCTCCTCTTAATGTTCTTCCTTTAGTACACACGTACACTTAAATATATGTTAGACTTAGTAAATGTCATATACAAATGTTTCTGAGCCTAGAAAATAGATTGGTCACTAATAGAATATTTAATCCATTTTAGTGGCCTAATTACTAGAAAGAATAACTTTATATTCACTTGCTACTCATTTTGCGTTCCTGTAGATATGGTGTTTGGGGAATGAAACGAGATTCCATATCAACAAAACTGTGGATGCAGCCATTCGTTCTGTAATAATTGGTGGATTATTCCCAGGAATTCAGTACCGGGTCGAGGTTGCAGCTAGTACCAGTGCAGGGGTTGGAGTAAAAAGTGAGCCACAGCCAATAATAATTGGTAAGTATCCACCTATTTTGCCTGTGCACTATGATCAGTCAACTGAAAACAAAGTTGCTTGTTTGTGAGGTTACAATCTAGTAGCGTATAGGAAGATACTAGTGGTAGGGTATATATATCACACAGGCAGTTGGGTTGTCTAGGATTTCATAAAAAATGGTTGGTGCCGTTCTTCTTGCTCTTCAGGGTCTCACAATGTTCTTAAAGTTATCATCTCTGAGAAAATAAATGCTAAAAAGTGGCTTGAAATTTATTTTTAATCAATAGTTTTTCAGGCAATGAATTAAAATATAGTAGAAAACGAGATTTTAGTTACTGAAGAGAGTGCTTTCTGTTTCAAATGTATATACTGTCTCTTAGCCAGAAAATTTCAAAACAGGCCAAAAGGGCACCAGCAGTTAGCGTAATGGCTATGTCGCTGGACTCCCACATAGTCGAACGCGGTTCGCATCCTGGACCCAGTAGCTTAAAACTCACGCCGGGTGTGTGTGTGTGCGTGCCCAAGATCCCGGGAGGAGAATGGAGGAGAAGGGATTGCAGAGTGGCCATCCCCCCCTAGGGAGTGATTTCTCGCTTTCTGTCTCTCTGTCTCTCTCTGTCTGTCTGGCGAGAGCACGCGCCCGATAGCAAAAACCTCTCCAAAAAAAAAAAAAAAAAAAAAAAAAAAACAGGCCAAAAGAAACTTTGTAATCTAAATATACTATCCCAAAGAATAAATTCATATTAAATTGACTATCATCATTGCATGAAATTGTTCCCTATCACTATGGATTAGGTTTTCCTATTCTTGAAAATGACATAAATAGAATCATGCAGAATATGATATTTTGTGTCTGATTTCTTTCACTAAAGCATAATGTTTCTCAGATAGGCTGATAGACATATTATGCAATTCCTATTTCTTATTGCTGAGCAGTATTCCAACTGTATTAATCTTCCATATTTTATTTGGTCTTCTCTTGAGAGAATGAATATGTTTGTGTAAGTCTTTTTGAGAACACACATTTTCATTTCTTTTGAAAGTATATCTAGGAGTAAAATTTTTATTTAATAGGGCTGTATAGTGCAACTTGGTAAAAAACTGATAAATAATTTTCAAAGTGTTGTATTTTCTTTTACTTGCACAAGCAAGAAGCATGGCTTTCAGTTTCTCTCCATTGTACTCGTATTTGCTGTTACCATTTCTGTAATGCAAGTAGTTTGAGCGGGCATGAACCAGTGTGTCCCGGTGACTTGAACTTGAAGTTTCTTTCATGACTCATGATGTTGAACAGCTTTACCTGCGCTTTGGCCATTCACATACATTCTTTTGTGAACTGGACAGATAAGTGCCTTTTAAAATTAGCCTGTCTCTTATTTCTAACTGATAGGATTTAAGTTATATATACATACTAGATACAGGTTCTTTGCCATATATGTATTACAAGTATTTCCTTTTGATTTTTAACTTCCCTACTTATTTTCTTAATAATGTTGTTTGATAAATGAAAGTATCAGTTTTAATGAAATACATATTCATCAAAACCATTTTTTTCATGTTAGAGCTTTCTGAGAAATTGTCTACGTCAGTATCTAGTAAGGACATTTTCTAATATTTTCTTCTAGAAGCTTTATAATGTTAACTTTTTATGCTTAGGTCTATAATTCATCTTTAGGTAATTGCATGTGGTTTGAGGATTAAGGCTTATTTATTTCTATATGTGTATCAAATTTTATAGGTACCATTTATCTTTAAAAAGGCTTTCTTTTCCCCAGTTAACTATATGCACGTGGATCCATTCCTGGATTCCCTGAGTTCTCCCATTTGTTTATATGCCTATCCATATGCCAAGCCTTGGCGCCTTGATTACTGTCTTGATTATAGTAAGTCTTGAAATCACATGATGTGAACAGTACATCATTTCCTTCTGCAAAACCGTTTCGGCTATTATAGACCTTGGACTTTTTCTCATACTTTTCAATTGAGCTTGTCAAATTGCACAAAAACATGTTGGAATTTTATTTGAAAAGGCAGAGAAACTATCCATCAAATCGGATAAATATTTCCATCATCTTTCTCTCCAGGAAATTGATATACCTCCTTATTATTTAACTCATCTTTACTTGTTCATAATATTTTGTTGTTTACAGTCTATGTTACATGTTTTGTTAAACTATTTCCTGAGTATTTGATGTTTTTATACTATTATGGAAGGATTTTAAAGATTTTCTTTTCCTACTGTTTTAGATGGTGTATCAATTTAATTTTTATATTACCCCGATATCTTGTGATCTCACCAATTTCATTTATTTATCTTAATTGTTGGAAAGGATTGTATTCAGATAATCATTCTTTCTTCTTATTTATATCAATATGGTGAATTCTATTGGATGACGTTCAAGGGTCAATTAAACTTGCATTTCTGGCATAAACTTCACTAGGTCATATTATCCATTTTCCAGATATAGCTGGATATAATTTACTAATATTTGCTAAAGAATTTCAATATCGGTAGTTTTCTTTTCTTCTATTTTTTTTAATCAGGTTTTAAAATCAGGGTGGCTGTTTTTGTAAAGTTGGAACACAACGTTTCCTTCTTCCATATTCTCTAAGAGTTTCTATAGGATTTTGTTTACCCTTCCTCTATTTTCTAGAATCCAATAATTATGTCTTTGTTGAGAATTTTCTTTGTGGCTTTTTAATAAAATAATTTAGATTGATTCAGATTTTTTTCTCTTTTCTTGTGATGGTTGTGGTAAATGGACTTTTGGCTTGGCCCACCAATGAATTTGTCTGATTTACAAAACATTTCCTGTAAGCACTTTTTTCAGTTGACTCTTAGAAGTTTTGATGCATTTCCATTTATTACAGAGTAGAAAATATAGTCCTCACAGATTTCTGTTTTCACAAACACACAAATATTGGGAAGTGTGTTATTTAATCTCTAAATGCTTGGGAGTTTTCCAGAGTTTGTTTTGCACTATTTCTAATTTGATTCTTTTGAAATCAGAGAATATATTTTGTGTGAAAATACTCTTTCAAATATGAAGATCTATTTTTTGTCTCAGTATTTGATCTTGGTCTTAGTGAATATTTCTTGGGCACTTGAAAATTATGTGCAATTTTCTGTTTTGAGGTAGAATGTTCTGTAAATGCCTGTTCAAATTAGCTGGTGCTATTATCAGATTGTTGGCAATCTTGTGTTTAGCTGTTCTTTCAGTTATTGACAAGAGTTTGAAAAATCTACTACAATTATATACTTGTGTGTTCCTTCTTTAAGTCTGTACATTTTTGTCACATGTAGTTTGCTACTCTATTGTAAGTGAATACATTTGAAGATTGGCATATCTTCTAAGTAAATTTACCCTTTTTCACGCTAAAATACCCCTCTTTATTTTCTAGTAAGATTTCTTGTCCTAAAATTACTTTGTCCAATATCAGTATTGCCATAATGTTTTATGTGTTTGAATCATTTGTTTTTCCATCTTTATATTTTAACTCTCATGTCTGTATTTAATGTGCATTTTTGTTATTTAAGTTACATATTGTTAAACACCTTGTTTTTAATCCAATCTGACAATCTCTGCATTTTAATTGCAGTGTGTTTAGATGATTACCGTTTATGTAATTAATGATGTATTTAAACTTAGAATTGGTATCTTGCTATTTACTTTCTATCTAAGTGTGCTTCTATTTTCTCAATTTGCTGCTTCTTTAGGGTAAATTTTAAAGCTTTCAGTATTATATTTTATGTTCACCAATGTATTATCAGTTATATTTATTTTATTTTTTTAGTGGTTATTCTAAGATTTGTTTATAAGGAGTATTATAATTCCACTTACTTTCCCTCCTTTTTTGCTATTGCTAAACCTTTTAGGTATAAGTAAGAAACAGCACTAATATAGACATTCTAGCATTATTGGTGGTTTTGCTTTAAACAAACTTCCAAAGGAATTAAAAATTTAAAAAATATACTTCATATTACTGCTGTTTATCTAATATTCTACTCTATAAATTCAATCTTCTCAGCCTCACTGAATCTTTCTGTTTCTTCAACTCAGGAAATCTTTTCTGCCTCATCTGGGTTGCCCTTCACTGCATCACAGTGAGGAAATGGTCTCCAGGTAGAGTTGTGGAAATAGTAGGACTTCCTCAGTTTTTGCTTCTTTTCTCTCAAGAATCACAATCCTCTCCTTTTCTCTTACATATTTTGCTTAGTCTTCCACTTGATTGTAATGGGATTGCATGCCCCATACCTGTTATTTCTTTATGGGACACAGTGGAGGTATTTAGGGAATTATCTATTTCAAATTTATTCCACTTTGTTCTGCAATTTCCTTTTGCTTCCTTTAATATTTTTTGTTTTTCTCAGGTACTTTCCACATGTTCACTCATTATGAATAACATAAACTTTAAATCTATAAATAGATCATACTAGCCACCTTCAAGTCTTTCTCTCTTGATTTTAACACTTGTGTTATCTCATGGTCTGTTCCTATCGATTAATTTTTTCTGTTGACTTTGGGTCATATTACTCTGGTTGGTTGTTTTTGTAGTGTGGCTATCTTGTACTGTATCCTTAGTGATTTGCTGAAGTGTTGGCTTTTGTTCTAGCAGACTGTTGTATTACTGGCTAATCACCTTGAACTTGTGGCTCCTTTGTGTTTACTTTTTGTTTGTATTAGGGTGATTATGCTCTGGCTTCATTCTTAGGGCAAGATGCCAGCTTGATATTTACTTCTAAGGTGTGGCTCTGCAGAGCTTCTCTAAAATGCCCAATATATTTATCAGGTCCCACTAACTTGTAAAATTTCCATTGTTAAACATAGTCTACTCTGTTAGAGAACATCAGCTGAAATCTTGTTTAGTCTTTCAGCTCTCCTTTTCTTTTAAAGGTTTGTTTATTCTTAATTTTATTCATTATTCTTCTTCAGTTTTGACCAGAAAGCTACAGACAGAGAAAGGACGAGTGAGAAAGCAAACCACCAGGTCTGGGATTTGAACCATGGTTAACCATGTG